GGCCCAGAGGAGCCCAGAGACCATGGTGATGGGCACTGGGACAGCGGGCAGAGGAGCTATTAGCCCTCGTTGGTGGGAAGAGAGAAGCACTGGGCACATCCCCCTGCCAGGCCCACGAGGTTTGGGGCCAGCCAGCCCTTATGCTGGGTACCTGTGTAGCGAGCAGGGCACAGGCAGGGGTAGTTGGGGGCACCGGGCACGCAGGAGCCCCCGGTCTCGCCGCCGTGCCCCTTGCAGGGCGGTGCGGCAGCTCGGGCCCTCCAAGCCCACTGGGCACAGGCACCTGCCACGGGGCATGGGGCAGCATCAGGGGGCGGGAAACGGAGCATTTTGGGGTGTTCCCCCAGAAACACCAGCACAGGATCTTGGCCGCGGAGCACACATGCACGCCACAAACACCGGGCGCCGGGGAGCATGGCAGCAGGAGCGCACAGCGAGGATGCTGAGTTGCCACGACAACGGGCTGAGAGGCCATTCAGCAGGTCCCTGGGCGGCTGCGCAGCTCACCTCCTCGCCCCCAGCCTACCATCTATTTTCATCCGCTAATTGCACCCCAGTTCTCGGAATGGCCTGAAGTGTTCGGGGTAGCGAGGGTTGCGCAGGGGCATAGCAGCTCTGCAGGGAGCAGCAGCGACCCCAGGGCCTCATCCTGCCCCATCCCACAGTCAGCCCTGCTGCAGCAGCCAGACCCCAGCCCCAAATCCTGCTGCCCTTTGCCTCCCCATACCTCCCGAGGTGGCGGGACACCCTCCCCCACAAGGAGCCTGCAGGGCTGAGGGGCACGGGGAAGCGGAGCCAGCGCTCAGCCCTGCTGACGCTGTGCTGGCAGGAGGCACAGGCAGGGCTGCAGAGAGAGGCAGCGCGGGCTGGAGCTGCTGTGTGAGTGCAATATCCCACCTATATGCCCAAGGGAGTACGCAGGAGGGGAAGGAAGCATCAGGCTTTATCTCTGTGGGATGCCAGAGCTCCATGCCGCTGCCCAAACACCCGTCTTTTTTGTCCAGCACTCACCTGAACCCAGCTCCTTCCCCCTCCTGAGGCTGGCAGGTCCCCCCATTGGCGCAAGGGTTGGAGGAGCAGCCCCCGAGTGCCACCTCGCAGTCCCTGCCCTGGGAAAGGAGAGAGAGGTGGGAGCGAGGAGGGTGCCACAGCACCGTGCCCAGCTCTCCCTGCCCCATCCCACTCGGCAGGGCACTGCAGTGTGCAGAGAAGGGGAACAGTCCTGCAGGCAGTGAGCCCCGGGGGCACGGCAGAGCCCCTGTGCTGCCCTCCTCCCCTCTGCAGGGATATGTTCCCCTGCGCTGGGGACCCCCATGACCAGCATACCTTGTAGCCGCTGGGACAGGCGCAGCGGTAGAAGCCGAGGGGGTCATTGTGGCAGGTGCCCTGGTTACGGCAGGGGCTGGAGAGGCAGGGGTTGCACTTGGCCTGGACGCTTAGGGCTGGCGGGCCTGCGGATGGGAGACACGGAGATGACCGTCAGTGCAGGGAGTGATGGGGAAGTGTCTGTTTGTGGGCACCCACATGGCGGGCAGAGCCCCAGCAATGGGACAGCCACATGCTTGCTCGGTCACCAGAGACGTGCCACCAGTCAGGTAAGGGGACAGAAGCATCCTGGTCCCCCTCCTCCACAAGGCAGATCAACAGATGAAATGCTGGAGTCTCCCAGACTCACAGAGCATCACTCTGCCGGGCGCAGGGCAGGAGGCAGCCCGTCTCCCCGTGACGCCTGCTGCCCTGCCTGAGGAGGGCATGGATGGACAGACGCATGGCGCGGGCACCTCTCACCTTGGCACTCGAACTTCTTGGCAGGGGTGGTGAGCAGCAGCTTGCCTTCCATGTCAGGGGGCCCAGCGCAGCGGGCGATGCCTGGCTCCTTGTACCCCGTCTTGACCCAGCTGGAGAGCCAGCGCAGGTTGCAGCTGCAGTACAGGGGGTTGGCCCCAATAGCTCTGCAGGGGGAGGAAAGGCAAAACTGCACCCACTGCCCTCAGCAAGGAACTGGGCTCAGAGACCTTGGGACGGGACAGGACTTGGTCACTTGGCTGGGCTGCCACATGATGGGGGAACCCGGTGCTCCTCCATTTCCAGACCAACCAGAGATACTGCCCACAGTGGGAGGACTGGGGCGCACACTCAGCCCCGCACTGCTGCCCAGGTAGATGACCCTCCTGCCAGCCCCACAGCCCACGCAGTGCCCCATGGCTCCGTGCTGGGGGTCTCCTCTGGCTGCCCGCACAGAAATCCTCGGGGATCCCTCTCCTGGGCCCAGCACAAACCGGGCAAAGCATCTTGAAGCTGCGCAGAAACAACAGGACCCTTGCACTGGAGCTGCGGGACCAGCCTGGGCTCTGCCACACAAGCCTGCGGGGCAGGGACACAGGAGCGGGCTGCTGGGGACAAGCAGCGGGTCACAGTCAGAGCTCATGGGGACAGCATCGGAGGAGAGCAAGGAATTGCTCCAAGAGAGGAGGAGGAGGAGGAGGGAGGGTTGCTCTGCTCCACAGCAGAGTAGGGCAGGGAGCAGCGGATGACGTGGGAGGCTCCTTCACTGCAAAGTTCAGCGGTGATGGAGGACCGGTGCAACCAACACCTGTGACAAAGGAAGGAGACGGCAGCCCAGAAGGCAGGCGGTAGGGACAGCAGGTCAGCTGGGGCTGACAAACCTGGTCCTACAGCACCAACAGCGCCGGCTGGTGACAACAGTTCAGCCCTGCGGGAACCGGCAGCACTGGCTGGCAATTCAGCAAGGGAAATCGGTGAAGAGCCAGGGAAGACCAGACCAAGCAGCGCTGCTGCTCCCAAAAAACACAGGGAGGCCAGGATTGGAAATCAAGATGCTCTCCGCAGGCTGGAGGAACAGCCTGAGACCCTCAGGATGCCAGGAGCAGGACTGGCCACTGGCAGGTGGGTGGGAATGGTTTAGCAGAGACAGGGAAGGGACCAAAAAGTCACCATGAGCAAAGCTGAAGCCCCGCCCCAGGTGGTGGGTATGGGACTGTGCTCTCCTGGGGTACAGGCTCCCTCAAAGAGGGGCTGAAACACTGCCACAGGCAGGAGGATGTTCGATGACAGATTTGGGGGGCTGCTGCAGGGAAGCACCAGGGCAGGAGGCTAACGACACACTGGCATGGGTCAGAGCAGCCCCCGCCAACCCACAGCCATGCCAGCACCTTGCATGGCTTGACCTGCGTGTTAGGGGACCCTGACGACCTCCAGCAAGGACCATAGGGCCATCCCAGCAGCACTGGGAGGCTCAGCTGCACACCCAGACCTGGGGGCTGAGCGTGGGGAGGGCAGGCACCGCATGGCACTGCCCCACAAATGCTGTTCGAAGTACCAGCCCAGAGAAGAGGAGAGGAGGCAGCTCAGCCCCCAGAGAAGCTGGGCTCAGCCCTGTGGTTTTTAAAGGTCTCCTGAGCCCTGCGTCCAGCCCTGCACCCTGTGGAGCGGGAGATACTCACAGGTGGGACAGGGAGGTGACATCTGCGAAGATTCCCTCAGGGAGGCTGGAGATGTCATTGCCATGGAGAGACCTGCAGAGAACAGAGGGTCCTACGATCCCCGCGGCTCTAGGGTGGGCAGTAAGGACTGTGGGGCTGCCCCCACCCCACAGGTCCATGCGTGGGTGGCAGAGCCGGACTCCACCACGCTGTCGCTGTTGCAAATACACCATCTGTGCCGAGAGGCTGATGCATCTCCCCTTGCTCCTCCTGCAGCCTGTACCTTGCCCGCCTGCCTACACCCACCTCCGAGCAGGCACAGGGGACACGGGGACACGGCCAGCAGCAGAGAAGGGGCCGAGCGGGGCCATGAGCAGGGCTGTGGGCAGGTACTTACAGCAGCCGGAGGGAGCGGAGGCCCTCGAAGGCTAGCGGAGGGATGCACTGCAGGGAGTTGTAGCTGAGGATCCTGCAGAAGGGAAGGAGGAGGTAACACAGCACCATGGGCACTGCCGTGGGCATTGCTGCATGCTCCCCCCAGCCACCCCACATGTCAGCTCCAGCTCAAACCACAGCTTCACCCAGGCGGAGGGGGGAGACCCTGGTGTCCCCAGCAACCCCCATCTTCAGGGTCCCCTAGGAACAACAGCGCAGGGACTGCACTTACAGGGTGGTGAGCTGGCTCATGTTGGTGAAGGAGGAGTTGCCCAGGGAGCTGATCTTGTTGTTGCTCAGATCGCTGGAAAACAGAAGCCCCAGTGGTTGGAGCCAGCTGGGCCCCGTACCCCCTCACTGCTCCCCCACCTGCTCAGCTGCAACGGGGTGCAAACAGCAGCACGGCACGGCCTCCAAGGGAGCAGCAGGGCTGTCACACAGGGTGTTGGCAGCAATGCTGCTGTCACCCCTCTGCCCCATGCCCAGTCCCAGTAGAGGCTGTGAGCACCCAGGGGTGTTGAGCATCGCTGCCAGCCAGCTGTGTCCCAGTGCAGAGGGGGGACACAGAGGGCTGTCGGGGGTCCCTGCACACCGCCAGGCCCCTCCTTGGGATCACGCACCATGGGGACAGCCCCTGTCCTCGCCCACAGGTCCCAGCAGTGGGACTGGCTGGCTGGGCTCCCGCTCCCGGACTGCAGGTACTTGAAGGTGGAGAGCTGCCCCGGAACCTGAGTGAACTGGTTTCCATCCAGGTAGCTGCAAGAGAGAACAAAAGCACCTCGGAGTGGTGAAGAAGCAGGAGGTCCTTCTCTCCACCCTCCTGTTTCTCCTGTGCAGGGAGGGGGACTTAGGGCTGCGAGGAGCATCTCCAGCATCCCCTCCCTCCTGGCACCCAGGGCATGCGGGGCTCTCGGGGGACCCCTGGGCTGGTGGTGGAGATGGCGTGCAAGCGCATTAGCCTCTGCACGCGGGTCTCCGGGGGCAATCTCCCAGCAGCCTGCGTGTGTGAGCGCAGCCAGCCATGTGCTGCATTTACACATCCGATGTGAGCGTGGGCAGCCGAAACTGTTCCTAAGGCATGTGTGAGAGAGAGCGGAGGATGCGGACAGAGAAGGGATGTGCGAGACAGCGTAGGGGTGTGAGGGGGTGGTATACATATGCATGTGCACAACCAGTGCCTACACCCCCTGCACGCAGGACTTGCTGCATCCCAGACGGGTACAGAGCCCAGGTGCAACGAGCATCACGATCCCTGCACACCCAGACCTGGCACGGCTGCCTGGGTATCTCCCTGACACCCACGCTGATGGGTGGCTGACCCCAGGCAAATCGCATCCCTGTGTGTTTGGAGCTGGTGTTGCCAAGGACATCCCTGCAGTTGCAGGGAGAGGTGACGGCACAGAGGGGCCGGGGAGCTGGCAGAGGCAGGGTGGCCCCATCCCTGTCACTGATGGCAGGCTGCTGGGGACCGCAGAGCCCTGGGCTTCATGGCTGCAGGGGGTGGCTGTCCCACGCTGCCCCCTCTCAAGGGCCAAATAGCAGGGACCCGGCTGCTGTGACAACACCCCTTGCACATCACCTTTGGTAGCCCTGAGTTGGCAGAGAGGCTCTCGCTGAGCCCCTCACTGAGGTTGGGGCTGGACAGGGTTCCTTGGCTGGGTGGGGGTTCTGCTCCCGCTACTGGGCCAGGATGGAGATGTGGGAGGGAGCAACTCTGTCCCAACACCTGCAACCCCACAGCGGAGGCCCCCCACCCAGAGCCACCAAGTCACTGGAGGTTGGGGGGGAGAGCCTGGGCACTCGCCCGCCACTCACAGCTCCGTGACATTCTTGGGGATCCCCTTGGGCAGGGCCTTGAGGTGCTTGTTGCTGCAGCGGACGACGGTGTCGAGGCAGGTGCACTCCTGCGGGCACTGGGGCCGGGGGATGCAGCTGGTCTCCTCCTGACCTGCACCGGGCACAGAGAGCCACAAAGTCACCGGGGCCCAGCCTTCGGGCACCGCGTGAGGCTGGACTTGGTGCCTTGTGCCTGCCTAGGACTGCTCCCCTCCCATGCTGACCATCTCCCCTCGCCCCCAAAGCAGGGTGCTGCAGGCAGCCTCCTTGCGGGGAATAGCCCCAGCCCGGCTGAGAGGCAGTGGCACAGGAATCGCTCCTGCGCCCAGAAACCACCTGCCCCACCAGGATGGATGCAACCAGCCAGCTCAAGGCTGTTCTGATTTTCACCATTTTCAAGCAAAAATGCAGTCCTAGAAACAGCAGAGAGGAGGGCACAGAGGAAGGGTCTCAGCCCTGCAAATCCTCATGAAATAACCTTCACCATCTCCCAGACACAGGCTAGAGGGAGAGGTGCCTGCACCGAGCAGCCGGAGGGGCTGGCATTGCTCCCCCTTCCCCGCCGCGGTGCTGGGCTCCTGCAGGAGAGGCATCCCCAGGACGACCGTATGTTATCTCACACCACTAGGAAAGGCTCAGGATGCAACCACTCAGTCTTTGACATGGTGGAGGAGGGAAAGCAGAAGAAATGATGATTTGTTTGTAAATATTTTCCAGAGGGCTCAAAAAGCTGTTCTAAATTAAAAAAACAAATGAAAAAAGGCTTTTCTCTTGACATGCACCCTCTCCGCCTGCTCTGTCTGCCCGGCTCCGGCATGTGTGCACGGCTGGGAGAGGAAGGAGGGGAAGAGCAGGATGAATCCCGGTGGACCTTGCCTATGCATCTGCTCCTGCCAGCACCCAGGGCACAGCGTTTGCCAGCACGGACCTGCCTATGTACAAGGGCCAGTGGGTGCAAACTCCTCTCTGGCTTCAGAGCAGCCCATGGGTATTTGAGCGCAGCCCTAAGGGCTGGGTACCAGGGAGGGAAACGCGTGCATCATTAGGGGAGGGTGTTAATGGGCTGAGGGACCCCTCAAGCTACCAGCTTGCCACGGGGCACTGCCAGACATCCCGGGAGCAGGGACGGAGCTGGAACGGGAAGCGCGGTGCCAGCCCAGGAGGAGCAGCCCGGTCCCCCCTCTCCCCCAGCGCCGCGGGGCCCGTGAGTTACCTTCCTCACACCTGAAGTCGGGGAAAGCCACGTCCTGGAGCGGGATTTGCCGGAGGAAGTCGGGGTTTTGGCACCGCGGGTTCCCCGTCACGATCTTCCTCTTGCGCAGCCAGTCCCCCAGCCAGGCCAGCTGGCAGTTGCAGTTGAAGGGGTTGGCGAGCAGGTTCCTGCACACGGGAGGGAGCGCGAGGGCATCACCTGAGCAGCCGCCGGGCAAGGGGACCCAAAAACCACGATGGGGACAGCCTGGGAGCATCCCCCCGGGGCCCGAGACGTACAGCGTGGAGAGGGACTGCAGCGTGTCGAAGGCGCCCGGCGCAATGGTGCTGATCTGGTTGTCATACAGGGAGAGCAGGCGGACGTTGCGCAGCCCCGTGAAGCTGTCGTTGTGGATGCAGCTGATCCGGTTGTTCCTCAGCATCCTGCGGAGGGAAGGGGATGAGGGCACCTAACGAACCAGGCAGGCGCCATGGGGGAAACCCACCTCGGCAGTGCCTGGGCTGTGCCCACCTCACTGCCGGGGAGCAGGACGAGCCTGGGCCAGTCCCTGAGCAGCAAAAACCTGCCCCCCATATCCCCCCAGCTCTGGATACGGCCAAAGGATGGGTAAGGTGCTCCTGAGCTGGCCTCGCAGTGATGCAGGCAGCACCAGCCCGGCAGCGTGAGCAGGGCAGGGGAGCAAGGAGCAGGGACATCCCCATCCCTGTGCCCACGGTGAAGGGGGGACTCACAGGGTCCTCAGCCCATCCAGGCCCCTGAACATGCCGCTCCGCACCGACTCCAGCTGGTTGACGGTGAGGTGCAGCTCACTGACAGAAGATGCCCCCTCGAACGCCCCATCCTCGATCTCTGACACCTTGTTGTTGCTGAGGTTGCTGCAGAGAGGGGAAAGCAGGCTGGGACGGGGGGCTCTCCCCAACCTCATCCTGAACCTGCCTCCCCCAGGTCCCGCCAAGCACCACGTGATGCCCAGTCCCTCAGGGGACTCTTGGGTCAGGATGTGCCCCCCATTTCATGCCCCAGGCTGCCCTGGCATCAGGATCCGACGGGGCTGTGCCTGCCCAATACTCACATTTTCTTCAGATGTGGGAGTTTCTTGAAGATGCCGGTGGCCTCCAGGACGGAGATTTCGTTGTTGTTCAGGCGCCTGGGGTGGGTGGCAGGGAAAAGAGCTCAGAAGATGGCTGCGAAGGGCCTGGCACAAACCAAACCCTGAGCCAAACCCCAGCACCGGCAATGCTCCAGTTGCAGGAGAGAAAGTGGGGTGGGAGGAAGGAGGCTCTTACAGCTCGGCCGTGGACTGCGGGATGCGCTCTGGGATCTTGGTGAGCTTCAGGTTGGAGCACTCAACCACGCTGGATTCACAGCGGCACTTCGGGGGGCAGATCACGTCGCTGTTGCACTCGCTGTTCAGCTGGTAATCCTCCGTCCCTGCATGCCGGCGAGGGCAGCGTGGGGTCCCACAGGCAGAGGCACGGGGGGCTGCGCCTGTCGTCCCCTCCTCTGATCCTCCCACACCCCTAGCTGGTCTCAGTCTCTTCCTCACCTACCCTCATTACTCCTCTGTGTACCCAAAGCAGCTTATCTGCAGGGATATTTATCCTTGGTACACGGGGCACTGCGCTGCCCTCCACCCTCTTCCTCCTGCAACCAGAGGCGGACCCCGGGGACGCCTCTGTGCCCATCTGGATGACGGCACGATGGGAGATGCTGCAACACATCTCGGTACCCAACGCTTTTGTTACCGCAGCACCTGGGAACTCAGCAACCAGAAATGATGGGAAACGCAGCGTGGTCCTGCCGGGGTCTGGCACCACCACACCCGCAGGCAGCCTGGCCAGAAGGGCACCGCGCACGCACCCACGCACACATGCGTATGGCTCTTCCTCTTACCTGGGATGAAATACTGCTCTTTGGCTGCGGAGAAAAAAGCACATCAGCACCCTGAGCATGTGGACACCAGGCTGGGGCAGGGCTGAGGACAGTCGTGCCGCAGGGCACCTGTGGTGGGGACGGGGACAGCTCTCACCTGAGCAGCGAAACTTCTTGCTCTTGATCTGGCCGATGCGCTTGTTGGCCAGGCGCCGGGGGCTGGCGCAGCGGGCACCGCTGGTCTCGATGGGGTTGGCGCGGAGGAAAGCTGCCCGCAAATTCACGTTGCAGACACAG